AAGATTCAGATTGCCTAATGTAATATAATCTTATAAGAACATGAATGAAAGTGTTAATAGATTATTAATCTTAATTATTTTTCCTCTCCTGGAAACTTGTAGTCTTGCATTTTTTTCTCTAAATTTGACCTGGAACTTTCTCCCCGACCTTTTTGCTTTCTTATTCTTTATTTCTTGGTTTGATAGAAACACTTTCTTGGGTGTCAAACATTAAGAATAGTAAAAGCAGCGTAAATATATTGTCGTCATGCACAAAGATTGACTTTTGCATGATGATGGAACTGGAAAACACGCTTTGAGGTGATAATTTGGATTTTCAAAATATATCACTATTTTTTCTCTTTAATATAAGAGTTATTTGATTAATTAGGTAAATTAATTAAGTTAAATAAATAAATTAATTATGATAAATATGACATGATTTCTCTAAAATATAATGTTAAGGTATAACATTAGATTATATATATTTATAGTTAGACAAAATAATTATTTGGGAGAAAATGATAAATGTGAGAGATAAAATGAATTGAGATCTTATATTTAGAATCAAATATAATTCTTAACTAGTTCTTATATTAGAAATGGAGGGAAATATTAAAGAACAATTTTGAAACCAATTAATAATTCATGAATCTGTTCTAAGACTATTCTAAAATTCATGGCCACCAGATGAGAATAAGAAGAAAATATCTAAATTGTAAAGTTAATTAGGGTTTAGGGTTTCACCATCAAAATTGCCGACTTTTTAAAACAAGTTGATTCGTGATACTGAAATCATGAAACGAGTGGGTGAATGATGATACACGAGATCCCGTGGATGAGAACAAAACCTAAACCCAAAATGAGAGACAGGAAAGTGGCATCGTTAAATATAAGAATAAAAATAAAGAGCCCGCTAAATATAAAATATAAATACGTGGATGTAGTAGTAGTCGTCTTTTGATCCTATTTATAAGGCATTCCAAACATATTTCACACATATTAAAGAAAACATTAAAATACACTAACTCTTTATTAAAATATAATAACTTTTTAACTTTACCTTTATTTAATATCTACATACACTTTTTAAAAAAGATAACTATCTATACTATAATAAATGAAAAACCAAATAATATATTCATGCTAGGAATTTAATGAAATAACTTATATTTAGGAAAAAAAATCTTCTTTTTTTTGCCTCATAAACGGTACAGTGGAGCATGTAGTAGTAACTTTTTCTTTTATTTTTGTTTAAATTTATGCTTTATGGAACACTTGGCAATTAATTAATTAATTAAATTGAAGAGCAAATGGGAATCACACAAAAAGGGGTGAAGCCACATTGGAGGGTCCACTTTTAAAACCGCTGGATGTACCAAATATTTAATGTGAATACGATTCCTAATATAAGCTCTTTTGACCATCTGACATTGTCCCGGACTACATTTTGACCTGCTGACTCCGCCTTTATTGTTCTTCAATAATCATCCATGGTCCATAGTTTTTTTTTTATTACACATTTCATTCAATTTTGGATGATTTTATCGTTATCATTTTCATATTCTTCACACATTTTAATATATTCCAAGTTATATAAATCTAATTATATATTTTTAATTTTGAAATTGCTATCTCTAGTTTTCAACAAAATTTCTCGTAGTAGAAGTGTATTTTTCATATTACACGTACATTTAATATTTTATATTAATTTGAGAAATATTGTATGTTTGAAATAAATTTATGAATGTTAAGAATGAACTTCAGGATATTTTGGTACCATCAAAAATGGGATGGCATGTCCTATCCAATGCCGGTGGAGCCATAACCAAGAAATGGCCACGACCCACCATGTGCACATTCAATAATATTTACGGGATTTTTCATTATGACTTTGTTGAGGAAATTAAATTGTGGGGGGTGATATTGTACTGGTATTGACTAACTATACTAGTATTCAATAACTAATAAATAGTATCATTTTTTTAATAAATTTTATATATTGACAATGATTTGAAATTGAAGTAAAATTCTTAAAAATGTGAAAGTCAATTAGCATTTATTGAACTCCATTCACAGCTAAATAAAAAATATATTTTTTCAGCAGGAATTGGAAAAAATAAATTATGTTTATCATCATTTATGTTTTCTTTTGCTAAGGGATTTAACGTTTGACCGTCAACATTATTATTTGTAGGTGCCGTTAATTTCCTTAAGTTTCATATGTCCAATTATTCCTAATCAGATGCGTACCTAAAGATCTCCACTAGTTTACAGTATTTGAGCTCACTTAATCATACAGTGAATAATAATAATAATGAAATTTGATTCAATTGAAGGTGCTAATTAATTAGTAGGCAATTCTTGAAAGAGAGGGCAAAAAGAAAAAGAATGGAGCTTGGGAGGTTAAGAGCATTGGATGGGACGAGTGATAGTAACAGAGGGCGAGAATCCCGTGATTGCTTTGATGAGTTTGGCTACAAATTAACAACATGTGTGTGCTGTCACTGATAGCTCTGTTTTTGCAAACCAAATATTGTTTTTTTAAAAAAAAAACCATTTGATATCTCAAATCTATTTTCCCTATTTTTCACTTCACTCCCTCATCATATTCTCTTCTCAGTTTCATCCCCCCACACCACTCGTGTGCGTTTTATTATTCAGTCATTTACTTATGAAATTATTATCAATGCTACCCTTTTGTTATTTAAAAGAAAAAAAGATATCTTCTTTTTTTTTTTTGCAAAAAATGCAAAATGATTAAGCATTAGAACTTAAGAGGTCTACAAAGTGCAGTTAAGAAAAAGGAAAAGCAAAATAAGAAAAAGAAGAGAAGAAATTATGGTCCCTGCTAACAATAGTCTACTTTAAGAAAAGAACATAAAAGAAGTTTAACTTTGTGCTCAAGGTCCCCTGCGATCATCTAAAGGTGGGTCAAATTAACTAGTTTCTTCTAAAAACAAACAAGTTGAAGTCGAGAGCAATCATCCCTTATTGTTCTGCCCATTCTAGTAATCCGAAGCAAAATATTCCGAAAGCAAAGAGAATTGAACTTCTGAGGATTAATGAAAGAACGATGGCAGAAGAAACCTTGGATAGGGTTTCCTCAAAATAATATAAAAGCATGCAAGGAAGTGCTCCTTCTGCAAATTCTTTTTTTTCAACATTAGTACAGTTCATCCTTTGCTAGTCAAAGAGAAATTTGCAGAATTTGCTGCAGCAGGGTTTTCCCTTTGTGCCATCGTCGGATGAATTGAGGAAAAACCCATTTCGAAATATGCTTACCAGCCCTGGATTTCTTTAATAACTTTTGTGGGTTGCTCAATCTTTCTTTCATGTAAGGCTTGGTTACGTTTCCACCATACTACGTTTAATAAGATGATGATGTCCTTGAGAAGAAATTTGAGATTAACATGAGAAAGCCTATCATTAGAAGAAAAAAGATATCTAGACTAGCAGCGACACAACACAGGTTTATGCATAAATAATTGTTAATTTCTTTTATTTAAAAACAGATTACACGGAATTATCTTTTTGTTTGTGGCCCATGATGAATGCTGTGGTTATTGGACCTTTTTCCCAAAAGAAGAAGGGGACCTGTAATCACACTTTCTTAGCCCTAAACTGGTAAGCCCATTTGGGACAGAACATTCGGCTCCAAAAGGAGATGTTGTGAGTCCAACCCAAGATATTTGTGTTTTTCTTACCTTTTTGGACATCAAAGGTATTATTATTATTATTATACTACCCTCCGGTCCTATTATAAGACCCAGTTGACTAATTTGAGGATATTAAGGAAGTAAGTTAAGTTAGTTATTGTAATAAATAAGTATTGTCATTCCTAAAATATCCTTGCTAATTAAGTGTATTGATTAAAACTATTATTATTAGAAGGACTATTTTGGAAAAAAAATACATAAATATGAGAGACAAAATGGATGGGGTCTTATAATTAGGACCAAACAAAAAGTCAAACGGAGTCTTTATTAAGAACAGAAGCTAGCATTAAGGAAGCAAAGGCCGAAGGGTGAACCGTCGTTTGAAAGATCTTGAGTCAATCTGAGAATTTCTCAGTCAATATATTTTTTTTAATTCAAATAAGAGCAAGAATTTTAAAGACCATAAAGTTTGAGGGTCAAGCACGGCTGGTTACCATACACCATTAAAAATCAGATATCTCCCTGTGTCTACCAGTTCTACTTCTACATTTGCTTCTCAGACTTTGACTGATCCTAATTTAAATAAATATAATAATTAATTAGCATAAATATATTTTCCTAAAATTTTTCATCCATCTTTAAAAAGTTATAGCCATTCTTTTTTTTTTTTGACCACCAAAGTTATAGCCATTCAAACAATGGAATACCTTGTTGTTTGATACTCCCTCCGTTCCTTATTATAAGAGACAAATAACCGAAGTACGTTGATCAAAAAAACAGTTTAAGTTAGTTAAAAATAATTAATGTATAAAAAGTATAATTTTTTTTCCAAAAATGCCCTCATTAATAAGAGAGAGAGCATGAGAGAGAACAATTAATTATTAAAGAAAGAGAAGTGGGGGAGAGAGAGTGTGAGTTGGAGATAATAAATATGGGTAAAATAGTAAATCAACACAAAAAAGTAGAGACAATGTAGTGTCTCTTATATATAGGAACATGGCATAAGCATCAAAGTGTCTCTTATAATAAGGAACGGAGGGAGTATATTAGACTTTTTTTTTTATGTATATTGCACAAGTACAAAGTAAAAAATTATTTTTAATGATATTATTTTCTGTAAAATTTATTACAGTTAATTTACTTTTAATAAGATTCATTTATTGTTTTTCAAAAAGATTTCAAATATTTGCCAATAATCATGGATTTGACTTTGAGGCTAGGACATTGATACTCTTTGGGGACATCTACGGTTGATAATAGGTGATTCGGCAATCAAATAAACGGTCAGGATTTTTCGAAATCTGACGCAAAGAATTTTCAATCGCTCTATGGCTGGTTAGTCCCAGATCGAAGGAGGGCCAGAATTCAGAAACGCTGGTCAGTGGTTTGCTCCGCGATCTCCATGGCGGGTGCTGTGAGAACGACGATGACGGCGATGCTGGTGATGCTAGCCGCAATCTCTCTGTATTATGCTGAAGCTTCTACTACGGCTGAGTTTGTGCATAACACCATCACGTCCCACAAGATCGTCATCTTTTCCAAGTCCTATTGCCCGTGCGTATCCACACTCTTCTGCTCTTCTTGATCTTTTGATTTATTTGATGCTACTGATCTTTTTATTTTCTCTGCAAATTGCTTGGACTTCTATCTAATTTGTTGTTGAATTATGATGATCCCGTTGATATGATTGGTTTTGAGCAGATGAAAGTGTCGGATTTCACTGGCTTGTCGAATTGGTCTCGCAGTGTCCATTTATATTGCTTCTCTTAAAATTAGATGATAATATTGGCCTGATGATGCGCTGGTACATCGGTACATTGCGAATCTCCATTCCATTTGCTTTATTTTTGGGTTTTCTGCTCTTAAGAAGTACACCTCAATAGCCTAGGTTACCAGATTTGAGAAGTTGCCTTAATAGCTAAAATGGTAAATCCCTTTGCCCCCTTTTCCTTGGTGAACGAGGCGGAAGAGGCGGATTACATTCGATATTATCTTCATTACTTTGAAACTATATGTTGTTATATGCAAGTAATGTAATTCCACCCCAAAATTCTGAATGTTGCTTCCATCAGATACCGTAAATGCAAGTATCATTCTTGAGTGAAAATCGAAGACAGATACTGATCCGATCCTTGAATCTTGATGATTGTGAAGATTGGAGAGTCTTGGAGCTTGATTATTATCTGCATTTTGTCTTTAAGATTCAGAATATTGTGCTGTATAAGAATGATATTCATGAGCATTTATAGCAGCAGAAAAACCATTTAGTCTCTAGTTCCCTTTTGTGTAATGATTTGTGTGATGTTGATAGCCGAATTTTATTTGATGTTTTATACAAATTTTTGCCTGAGAGGCTTTACATTTACAATTTGTTTAAAAAATGGTTTCTGAAAGTTTTTCTCTTGGCCAGTGGTTTCTGAGAGGTGAAATGCTTTAAACGATATATCAAATATAAATGGCCAACAGATTCTTGAATGCTAGATTTTAACGTAGCCGCGGGAAAAATATGAGTAAAATTAACCATGGTACTAGAAATGCAAAAGGCAGAACAATATTGAGAGATCCTACAATGACGCCATTCTCACGTCCTCAGTAAGCTGCTTAACATCAACCTTTCAAAATTAAACTGATAACCGGAAGATTGAATTGTCATAGATCTGCGTCCATAAAGTATATCTTCATCTTTTTTCATGCATGTTATATCCAGCAAGTGTATGCTGCCTTTGTCTCATCAAAATTTTGTAGGATGTAGATATTAGTCATTATTTCTTCGTAATTGGATAACACTTATGGTTGCTTAGATTTTAAATATGAATACTGTATGGATCTGATATTTAGGATAGTATTGAATTCAATCTGCTGTTTATGTTTCTATAAGCTCATTAGTCATTACCTGATAATTATGATTCTGGCCCAGAAACAAAATGATAATTATGTGATTGATGATGCCATGTAAATTCCAAAGTTCTCCATTATTTGCTCTTCCTTCCTCTTATAAATTTTATAGTCACTCAAAAAAAATTGTGCCCTTCATAAACTTGATGAGCGGATGTTAACTTTGGACAACAAATTCGATCTTCTACTGCAGTAAAGCACTCAAGATGTTTAATGTTGCTTCTGATTTCATTTTGGTATTTTAGGTACTGCCGAAGAGCAAAAGCTGTTTTCAAAGAATTAAAACAAGAGGCACATGTTGTTGAGCTTGATGAGAGAGGTATCCTCATTCTTTTCCCCTTTCCTCCCGCATAGTAAATGCTAGAATCGGTTCTGTCTCTAGTAGGGAGAATGAAATGATGTGGTTTTAATGGGCATTCTTGAAAAGCAGGGGTGGGTTAGTATTTCTTTCTAGTAACTCCCTTTGGACGGAAAGTTTCTTTCTTTCTTTCGCAAGAGATCTTGGGACTCTACTAACGAGGGAAACGATAAAAACTAGAGGGGTTGGAGCTAAGTTGGCACAATTCCTTTGTAAACTCCATAGCTCCAATGCAAGCAGCTAAGTTGCACAAACGAGACACCCAACATAGCTTAACCTACAGAGACGCAGCAAACAAGTGACTCATGGCAGAGAAAAGCTTCAAATCCTTTAGATCTGTGGCCAACTGACCTCTCCTGAAACGAGCCCAAGGTTTATTCATGAGCAGAGTGAAATAACATGAAATAAACAAAGCTTTAAATCAAGGGGAACAAATCAAAATGATATTAGAAGATCGTAGTTTGTTTTCTACAGGGATAGTTACATCTTACATGTGGTATAAACATACAAAGCAATTGAAAGAACAATGAAATAAACCAAGTGATGTTGTAGATGAAAAATAATTCCCATGTTCCTATTTTAAATAACAATAAAAAAGGGGACTGTTAAGTAATGATAACAAAAACCATGCTACACATTATTTGTCTTGGTTTTTTCCACTCTTCAATTTCGTTTCTTCTCTTGTACCAACAAGCCTCAGGCTCAGCCTATCAAAAGAAGAGGGATCAGTTAATTGGGGTTATATAGGAACTCTGTTTCGTAAAAGAATGAATGTATTTTCTGTATAAATATGTACAGGAGTAATTGCTGGTAATTATATTTTCTTCTTGCAGACGATGGCTCAAAGATTCAGGATATTATGGTTAATATTGTTGGGAGGCGTACTGTGCCACAAGTCTTTATTAACGGAAAGCACCTTGGTGGTTCGGATGGTAAGTGTTCCTCTGTGAGAGCAAGTATGGACTTGTCTTTTGTTCCAACAAATCCTGATTTTCTAGGAACACCACTCATATATTTGTTAACTGACTGTTCTGTAGATACCGTTGAAGCCTATGAGAGTGGAAAACTGGCAAATCTTCTGGGAATTGAGACAGAGGTTAATGATGATTTATGAATCAGATTAGTAATACTTTGAAATTTGTAATTTTACTTTGAGTCCAAAATGAAATTGCTGCGCATACGAGGGCGGATCCAATACTATGCTTTGATAGAACAGACGTTTTCATCTTAGATCATATGGGATTTTGATCAATAAGTTCTGACGTAATTTAGTTTGGTATGGTTTGCTAGTTGAAAGAGTGAGATTATTAGTACTTGTTGAGCATGAAAATTGTCGTTGAATGTTACCTAGTTATGTTAAATACATACAAAAAATGACAATGAGGGAAAAATTTCCGAGCACGCTATTGAAATAATGAAATGACGTAGCTTTTTAGTATGATGTTACTTTTGTTACGTGCTGGTAATTTTCATTGACACACATTCATGTAACTTGAAAAGGAAATTTTGATTTCATGGAGAGTCCGAACTTCTTCATAAAGCATCTCTAAGTTTATTTAAATTTCTTAATGTATATTGGACCAATAAATTCTGTTAAGAATTTCAAACTGTGCCTAACTTAGAAAAGTAATTCTCATGTTAGAAAGTTGAATTTTTCGTCAAATGATTTCCGCTCATAACTGAAGAATTCTTGCGACAGAGCATGTCAGAGACTGGAGGCTTTCCTTGTTCTTCGTCCCTGCGGCTGCGATACCCCATCTATCCAAATTTCTAGTTGAAAAGTTTAATACTTATCTATTTCGAAGAGATGTTTGATCTTAGCTTTGATTTATTTATTGATTTATTTTTGAAAAAACTAAATTTGCATATTCCAGTCTATAGGGCAGTCATCTTAAAGACCTCACGAATTTGAATTCCACGTCTGTGAGACTAACCTCATGGTTTAGTTTGAAATTGTGTCTTCCAAGGTTGCACTGAATTCCACGTTGGAATTATCTTTTTTTTTTAAATTTATTTTATTTGGAAGCGAGGAGTTCCCTCTGAAACATAATCTGGTTTTCCAATCATAATGATGTTCCTTCATGACTCCGTTGTAATTCAATTCCTTACGCCAAATGCGCCACGAGAAACAGATGGCAGAAGTGAGCCAAAAGGTGTTAAAGAAGGGTTTAAATGCATGAATAAAGTAGGTAGTAACTATGAATTTAATTAATTAATAATTGATGATTGTCGTTAAGCATAGGGCACTATGTAGGGGGCGTGTCATCCTGATAATGTAACAGCCATCACAAAATAATTATAGAGCTATATTATTATTACGTAGTCACGACCACACTAAGCTTTCTTCTTCCACTTTTTCTTTCGTCCACTAGTTTTTGGCCACAAAATCTTACAAAAAGAAAGATTTTCAGTCATGACTTTTCAGCACAAAATTGCCCATTTCATACTCACTTCTAATCTTAATCCTCTGGTTTTTCACGTGAGACCAGGCTTTTACGGTTCTACCTTATTGAATATTCAATAATACATGCAATTATGCATATTGACAGGTTCAACGGGGAAGGCAAACTTTAAAGAAAACTAGTTTACGTTCCCCTGATCTCTCATCCATAAAAAATCTTTTAATCAATCTGTGTTTCTAATAATATACTTTAACAGTCAATACCATATTTTTCATATATGAAAATTTGTTTCTAATATACAAAAAATATATGTAGAATAGGGAATATATATATTTCAATCTCATATAGTTTTACTTAGTTTTTTTATTAATTTTTTGTATATGATTTAAATATGTATAATTAAAGACTTTTCATTTGTAAAGGTTTTAATTTAGTCCGTATAATTAAGAACCTGAAAATATCATAACCAGCTGTATAATGTCTTGATAGACCGAACGCACATGATATAGGATAATAAAAGTCAAAAGTATGAATAAGGGACACAAGATTAATCACATATTTTGTAAATATTTTTTAAAAAATACTCCTATATAATAAGAGCAACTAGAGTGAAAATAATTTAAAGTCTAATGATTTAACTATAAAATTTTAAATTATAGAGACAAAAGCCAAAAAAAAAAAAAAGATTAGTGGAGAGGAAAGTAAAGAAAAAGAATTTTAAGGATTAAGGAATTTAATGAAAATATTCTCCTATAATAAATGGGCTACATAATACCCCTATCTAACCTATTCCCTCATTCCTAATTATAAGAGATAATTAATTAAATTACATTATTAGAAGTGTTAATTAAAATTAGTTGAAGATAATAAATATGTGAAAAATATAGCTTTTTTGGGCCAAAAATACATTCATTTATGTGAGAAAACGAATGTGTGAGAATTAAATGATGAGTAATATGGGTAATTAAATGGGAGCAAAATGAGAAATCAACAAAAAATGGCATACTTTACAAAAATTCCATATACTCTTTAATGTAGGATCTAATTAGGGAGTTAATATTGGTTATATATATGTAAGATCTATTTCATATTTTTATCAATTTTTTCTCAAATTAATCCTATTAATCAATCCTATTCCCCTAATAATAATTAAGTACGAGAGGGGGAGAATAAATTAAGAAAGATGCTTAAAATGTTTTACATTATAGACTGGAGGAATATTATTTATCACAGATTTTTATTTATGTATTTTAAAATTTTTCATTTATTTATTGTGTAATCTCATTATAAAGATTAACGTAACATACACTATAAATTTTTTTATTATAAAATAAATTTAATTACCAATAAAGGGGAGAGCATACGCAAGGGATAAAGAAGCCTAAATGAGGCTATGACCTTTGGGCTTGTTATTAGACACAAAATATCAGGAAAATGACATGACACTTGAACTTAAAAATGTCAAAATGGTCATTTAAATTTGCAAAATATCAATTTAGTCACAAGTGATCAATTTGACATTTATAAATTTACTGAAATTACTATATTGTTCTTTATTTTATTTATTGTTTTTTTAAAAAACCAAAACCCCCACTAGTCGGTCGGTTGCTGGAGCTCTAGTGCTGATAGTGGCGGTCATCACCAGAGCTCCAGCGACCGGCTGACAATTGGTCACCGGAGCTTTGGCGGCTAGAAACAATTTTTTTAAATTTTTTTATAACTACTACTTTTTGAATTTTCTAGAAAACCTATTGTTAACTATTATACTGAACTTATTAATAACGTTACAAAAGTTGTTAATTATTATACTGAAGTTGTAAAAATTTGTTAACAAAAAAAGTAGTTGCTAAAATTGTAAAAATGTCATTTTTTTTGAATTTTTAAGAAAATCTATTATTAAATGTTATACTAAAGTTGTTAATAGAGTTACGGAACTTGTTAACGACATTATTGAAGTTGTAAAAATGCTACTTTTTAAATTTTCTGGAAAACATGTTGTTAACTGCTATACTGAATTTATTAATAGTATGACAAAAGTTACTAATCATTATATTGAAGTTATAAAAATTTTCAAAAAATTTGTTTCTGACCACTAGAGCTTCGGCAACCAATTGTGGCCAGTCACCGGAGCCAGTGGAGGCTTTGATTTTTTTAAAAATAATAAATAAAATGAAAGGCAATATGGTCATTTCAGTAAATTTATAAATATCAAATTGGTTATTTGTGACTAAATTGAAATTTTGTAAATTCAAGCAACTATTTTGGCATTTCCAAGTTTAAGTATCATTTTGTGTTATTTTCCCTAAAAGATCGCAATATGACAATTTTAATAATTTTTAGAGTTAAGTAAAACAAATGAGGTTGCACCGACTCCATAAACCCTCGAATTTGGAGGGAGAATTCATTAAAATAGGAGAAAATCATCATAAATTTCATGTAAGAAAATTAAATATAATTTTTTGAATTTCATTTAATATTAACAAGTAACAAGGGATTTAATATATTTACACGTTAATTTTTCGTATTTATAAGTTGAGTTATATTTTTTTATCAATCAAACTTGTGAATATTAAATTCTTTAATATATATTAATATTAAATAGAATTTGGGAATCTATCTATATTTAATTTTTTTCCTGAGACTTGTAGGCAATTTTTCCTTAAAATTTTGCCCCTCAGTCCACTCTTCTAAATTAAATGAGGTCCTCTCCAAAATCCCTAATTAAACGTTATGTAAAAGTATACCATTTTCTCTCATAATAACAATTCTTAAAATGCATATTTTTGCAAATGAATCATGCTAGAAGGAATTTTTTTAGTAACATTTCTGAATTCTTCTCTAATATCTAAGTAACACTTGAATCAAGCTATAACTCCACCAAGCAAATTGAGATTAAAACATCAAAGAAAAATAACCTATATATATAGCTAGTAAATTCAATGGCAAATATGTGTGTGTGTGTGTATCTAGTACATTTCAAAACAAAAAAAAAAAAACTAAATTTGCAATTCCTACCCTCAAAACTGCGTCAGACCAATTCAACCAAGACAGATCCATAATTTATCTAATTTAATGTTGATAACAAAGCAGTTCATAGTTTCAAACCGATGGAAGAAATATGACTGGCTTGATTTCAAAACGGAAACAATGTAGACCACTTATAATAATCTCAATCACAAGCCTATAAATACACACGCGCGCACACACACACACGAATATATATATAATGATGATTAATTAAAATCACATGTGTTGTGGCCATTATTATTTCTGTATTTTTTTTTGGGTCAAAATTATTATTTGTGCATTAAATTTCAACAGTTTGCCTTGTGCATCAGGTAATTTGGCGTTTCCCGTTGAAGAATATCGATTCAATTTCATTCATTCCGTAACTTCATTTTCTTAATTTTCGTCAAAACGCTAATCTCAATAATCTGGTCCAACCCCTAATTAAGACTCAAGCCTGCAACTATTACCATTATTCTCTGGTTTTATGTCCCACCCACAAATCAGTTGCTAGTTGCTACTCCATTAAAAGCTTATTAATTAATTCTACTCACCCTCTTTTTTTGTGATTTTACTATATCGCCCCTACCTGGGAAAGTGTTGGGAAAGATCCCCTCTAGCTGATTTCAAAGAAGCTTGGAATTGAACAATTTTGAGAAAGAATGGCCAAACGATTTATTATGTCATTAAAGAATAGTTTTGGGTTGTTTCCCGAGAGGAGTCAGAATTCTAACGCATCATTTGCCTCTTTTTTCTCATTTCATTAGTATTATCATTACTTTGATCGGCTAATCCTCATTAATAGATAATTACTACACTACACATGCATATATTTTTCTTTCTTTTTTTTTTTTTTTTTTGGTTCTGATAATCAAAATCAACTATCCCACTAATAACTGATATAAATTCAACCCCATGACCAAACCCAACCGTAAAATCTGTGCTGAAATCCATCTCTTTCTTAAAACCCCTCAAACTTTCCCATTTCACCACTGCTATATTCAACTTCCCTCCCTTTGATCTCTCTCTCTCTCTCTCTCTCTCTCTCTCTGTGCTCTCTGCCATGGAAGATGACGATGGAGCATGCAACACAGGGCTGTCTCTTGGCCTGGGGATAGGAGGGTATGTGCCGAAGAAGAAGAAGCAGATCAGAGAGAACAATCAAGTGGCGGGTCGCTGGGACCTACCCTTTGAACTTGGTCCCAAAGGAGAAGAGACCCTTAATACTAAGGATCATGAAGAACATGGATTGTTCAGAATAAAGAGAAGGGGTCATGATGACGCCAACAACTGCAGAAAGAAACTGAGGCTCACAAAGGATCAATCTGAGTTGCTGGAAGAAAGCTTCAAGCTACATACCACCCTTAACCCTGTAATTTTCTTTCTCTCTCACACATGTTCTGAAAATTTCTTCTCTTTCATCCTTTTGTGTCATACGGATTCATGTATAATTATACATCCATATCATAATTATGAGATTAATATTTTCCAAGTTTCTGCCTGCAACTTTACCGCCTGGTTTCGATGATTCCTGCAGGCTCAGAAGCATTCTCTTGCGGAGAAATTGAATCTCAGACCTAGACAGGTCGAAGTTTGGTTTCAAAACAGAAGAGCAAGGTACGTACAGTGGCTTTGATAATCAATCTCTCATCTCTGGTTTTTATATATCTTCTTCGTCTGTCGATATCGCTTTTAGTTGTCTGATAAAAGTGTCATAATCCACGACGAGATTATTAATTGCGGAAATTATTAAATGGTACTATATATATGCTCATTTACATTGATCAGGACCAAGTTGAAGCAGACAGAGACAGACTGCGAGTTCTTGAGGAAATGCTGCGAGAATCTGAGAGAAGAGAATCGAAGGTTGAAGAAAGAGTTGCAGGAGTTACGTGCACAGAAGATTGGGACGACGACGTCGGCGTTGTTCATTCAACTCTCAAAGACGACGGCGACGGCGGCGACGACGTGTTCGTCATGTCAGAAACCATTCAAAGCGAGTGACGCAAATAATAATAATAACAATAACAGTGGCAACCATAAATTGGAGAGAGTGGCCTTAGATTGCTACGTGGGATAAATATGGTGCCATATAGGTGTTGCGTTTTGGTGAAATGCCAAGTTCCGTAACAATTTGGGATGTTTGGGGAATTAATGGGCATTATGGTATATATTTACTCAAATTTTATATGGGTTTGACCAAATATTAGACGAGGAATATGAGTCAGTGGGAAGAAAGAATATAATAAGTTTTTGAATGGTTGAAGTTGAAACTGACAAGAGGAAAAGAATTCCCCGAGTCAGTCATCCACTAATTAATTAGAAAGGTTAGAGAAGTTACAAATATGTGTGTGTGGATACAGAAGGAATGGTTTGTTATTTGTAATTGCCATCTTTCAAAAACCATTCGTTTCCTTTCACTTCTTCTCACCTTTTGTCTCTCTCAAGTTTTAACACTCTCGTCATGATTATATCTTTTAATTACTACTATTTTCGTTTTTAATTACAAGATTTTATTTGTAGACTATAGATAAGGTTTTATAATTAAGATTGGAGATAGTAACTACTATTTTCGTTTTTAATTATAAGACTTTATTTGTAAACTATAGATGAGGTTTTATAATTAAGACCGGAGGCAGTATTATGATTTACCAATTCCATGGTATAATGACTATAATCTTATTTACATGCGCGGCTACCAAAAAAAGAAAAAGAAAAGAGAACTGTTGTAATCCAAGTTATAATTTGAAATCATAATATTGAGATGTTAGCTTCAGTTTCAATCAAGCATAGTAAGGATTTATCCTAAAAACTTGTATGAAAAAAGGGAATTGTCCTAAAAAAAAAAAAACTATAGCTTGATTTGATACGGAAGCATATAGTTAGCCATAGATATTATATATATAATCCCACTTAGATAGAATTATAATTAATAGAGAAGTTGGTCTAATTTATCTTACCCTCGCATACACGGACACCGCAGCATTTGTTTATTTATTAATTTATTTTTGAAAGCTACTCAAATCTCTCATGATTAATTAATAAGAGGCTAATAGGGTAGTCTACCAAAGTATGCTATAATTAATGACAAGAGACAGCATATACGCTGGCGCCGTCATGGATAAAAATTAAAAAAAGAAAGCGAGAAAATGCACATTTATGGTGCATATAAAACGTGAATGTATATGTACCACTCTATTTCTTATTATAAGTTACTTGTATCTCAAACCCACAAACCAATAAATACATTAAATTAACTTTTTTTTTTTCATATTTACTCTTATTAAAAGTTGAGAGAGAGAGAAAGGTAGAGGATAGATTGCATAGGAAATGAAAAGTTGAGAGAGATGGAGAGGGAGATTAATTAATTTTTTATTAAATTAATAGGAATAAAATTGGAAAAAATCATTAATTATACTACAAGTAACTTATATTTTGAAACAAAATTTTAGAGTACAAGTGACCTATAATAAAAAACATAGTGGTATATTTAATTCGTTCCATGAAAATATCTTCTCATCAAACTTGGATCCTCAATCTTGTTTTGCAACATTATAATACAAAGAGAAATAAATAGAAATAATTCTTATAACATTCTAAATAAATAATAAGGATTTTAGGTGTAAATTCGCTTCAAAAATTTTTATTCAGAAATGCTGGACACCTGAAAATTTTTTAGGTGTAAATTTAATTCAAAAATCTAAAATCGTAGTAATTTTGCTCTCTTACTATTAAAAATATTAACAGTTAATGTCATTATTTTTTATTTTTTTAATAGTAAGGGATAAAATTATTATGATTTTAAACTTTTAAGGCAAATTTACATTTTAACCTAATAATATAATTTTAAAAAATCTTAATAATAAGTGAAACTCTATCGAACCTTTAAAGGTAACTATAAGATCTAAAAAAAGAATGCAATTATTGAAAAATCTCAATGATAAATGAGATATAGTCGAGCACAATAGAGGAATAATGATACAAATTTAAACTCAAAAACTTGTATTTAAACTGTTAAAATTTATTCCATTAAGACCAACATTTATTATTAGTGCATCTAATGTTCAGGTCAAACTCTCTTCGGTACAAATGGGAAAATATCTTTTTGTATAAAAATGGTGGTGTAAACACTACAATTTTTTTTAAAATATGTTTCATGGAATATAACGCGTGAGGCACACATTAAATGATTTTTTTTTCTGTGCCAACTATAAATGATTACTCATATTATGAATTACGCACCTTTTTATGAATATAATTTTTTCAACCTACTATTGTGTATTGATTTGGCTGATGTTGTCTGTTTCGATTTAATTCAATTATTAAAAAAGGAGCTTAATTTATTTATTACGCGACATTGCACTGCATATATATTATTGATGAAGCAACTCCTTCAACGGTTTCAACAAAAACAACAAAGAAAAGAAAACAAGAATGTAATTTTTGTTTTCAAATTTGATGGCAATATAATCATTCTTTTGCAATTTCATTCATAGGGTTTTCAAAGATTCCAATTTTAACCTCAATTGATTTGTTGTATTAGGAAATTGAAAAAAAGAAATTAGTGGTGTATTTAATTAATTAAAGACCTAAATAACTTGGCGTATTTTACCCGCCTATAATGTAAGAAAAATAATGACCATAACAACTATGATATTGACTTGTGCATTATAAACAGTAGTAGTTTCAATTTCAACCTCCCACCATAATCAACTACTAGTACTTCTTATTGTCTTTTTTATACCAATGCATGGGTCGGCGAGCCTTCAAATTTGAAAAAATAGTAAATAAAAACCTCCAATATGTGAATTTGCAATTTGGAACTCTTAATTTAGAAAATGACAAATAAAGACTCGATTCTATATTGTAAATATGAAATTTTGGTGAAATGTCTGAAATGCCCTTCGGTCAAATGACAAGTTCACTTTAGCGAATAATAATTTCAGTAAACCAAATCATAACTTGGCTAAGGGTATGCCAAATGACAAGTTGATTATCAGAAATGACGAGTTCACTTTAACAAATGACAATTTCAATAGACCAAATCACAACTTGGCTGAGGGGTATTTCAGATATTTCACTAAGATTTCATATTTGCAATGTGAGACCGGCTCGTTATTTGCCATTTTTCAAATTAGGGGTCTCAAATCGCAATTTCATATATTTGGGGGGTCTTTATTTGTCATTTTCCCTTGAAATTTTCATATCCCATGATTAAGGCCACTTTTTTTTAATTATTTAATGAAATTTTGATATAGGCCACTTCAATTATATAATCCTGTTTTTAATTCTTGGAATATCTTTATGGTTATGAATGTGATCAATATTATCTATCTCCTTTTTCTTTCATATTTTGAAGTACAATAAGTACAAATTAATGTTATATATTCTTGATTTTCAAGATAATTTTTTGACTGAAACCCATAGTAAATTACACTATTTTTTAAATTACTTAGTTGATAAAACAATAAACTATATAATAGTACAAGAATTACTTATGTACAAAATCACGAAAAACAAAAATTAATTTTCTTTTCGTGGGGCACGTGATGCTCCCATGACCTATGTTGTAGGTCAGTGTGTTCATATTCACATAAAATATGAAATTTAAGAGGTTTCTTGTTAAGTTGAAAAAGTCAAATATTTGGATATATAATTGAACGTTTAATAGAGTTTTATATTCAACCAATGACAAAATATTAATTAAGGTCCAGTGTAACTAAACTTTCAAGAAAATTTTTATAATTTATTCTGAGATCTAATCATCAAGCGATGAGCATAACCTTTTTCTATATTGACAACAGATGAATTCAATAAAGGAGAAAACTTGGTTTTCTATGACAAATTCAAACAAATAATCAACCAGCAAACAGTGAAGTCAAATTTATTTATTTTGGGTAATTTTTAAATCAATGGAGTGATAGGGTCTTCTTCTAATAAGATGATGTCAGATGCATAATACTTTCGACTCAAGCAAAAGAATAACACTTTAAAAAGAAGAGGTTGAAAGGTATATTTAGATTATTCTTTTTGGAAATATATATATATATATATATTTCCCTCAATCATATATGATCGAGGACACGGCGACAAAGACCATCTTGAACATTTTTTTTTTATAAAAAAAATATGTGGGCTTAAATAAATTAACTTAATTCCTTTTATCGGAAATGTTCTATTTTTTTTTTTCAATAACTTATTATGAGTTCAATTAAGTTCAATGATCATATTATGAGCAATAACAAAAATTGAAAGAATAACACTTATTTTTGCAAGAATTGTTTATCCTTTAGGACAAGTCGAGAATTATTTTTTTTTGGGGTGAAAATTCGAGACTTTTTTTTTAATACAATTGGTTGTGGATGGAAAAGTGGAGGGAGGGAAGAAAAAAATGGAAAATGAGATGATTATTCAGTAAATTACGTTTTATTTTCTTAAAATAAACTAAGAAACTAATAAAAATTATGTTAATATACTACTTCCAATTCTTAATATAAGAGTTAGATAACTACTTTAGGAAGATTAAGTGAATTAATTAAGTTAATTATTGGTAACAAATGTATATTGGCTTTTCTAAATTATCCTTATTCAATCATGTATATTTAAACTACACTTAGGTGAAAACAACTTACAATCATAGGAATATTTTTTAAAACACATTATAAATTTATAAAACAAACTAGATTATGATCTTATAATTAGGACTGTCGACTAGCTCTTGTATTTAAGATCGGAAATGGTATATAATCAATTAATTGCCATATGGTGTTCATTTTTTAAGTATCAATGATGAGAACGGTAATTTAAATTTTATATAACCAGTATTGTTGAAAACATGTATTGATTACATCCAGAAATTTGTATTAAGACCTATATTTAATTAGGAAAAAAATTGAAAATTGGGATGTAAATAGGATGGATGGCTGCACTGATTTGCATGATTGGATTGACTTGTGTGGAAATAGTCAAATAGAGAATAGTTAATTGGCGTGGAACAAGTTAGATATGGAAAAGGAGATAGAAGGGTAAAGAACAAGTTAATAAAGTTCAACCTTATTTCTTGTCAAAGTATAATATCTATTCTAATAATCTGAAAGCACCATTTTGCTCGGCGAGCTATGGTCATCCTATATACACGGCCCCACCAAGACCATCACATAACACGACCCAATCATTTATTTGCCTATTATTTTTCCAATTCCTTTCTACCTACACCTTCCTTCATTTGAATTGCTATTTTTTATTGCAGAATGGGTTAAATTGCAAATTTATTCTCAAAATTTTCACTTAAGGATGCTGGGTATCCAAATTTTTTTGGGTGTAAATTTGCTCTAAAAATTTAAAACCGCAGTGCTCTTGCGTGAAACTTTCTCGACAAATATAATTTTAGTCACCATTTAAGTTCTCAATAAATTTTTTTATTAATG